AATTAGATGAATTTTCCTATTCAAAGAGTGGCTGAAGTAAAAAAATCGGAGCATTATTACTACTCCAAAACGTGATGACAGACATAAAATAAAAAAAAAAAACAAACACACATCTTTGTAAAATCAATACATTCATCACTCCGTTCAGAATCTAAAAAATAGAATAATATTAATCATAAAAAGCGGGTAAGTCGTTGATGTCACTCTGCTGTACAGTATAGGTTACAAGTGAGTTACTGTAATGGATGGAATTAAATTTGAAATTCGAACTTTGAATGCTTGTAAAAAAAAATTGTAACTATGCATTTCTTTTATTTTTCAACTGCTAATGCAAAAATATGATAGGAGCCATGTATTAAATTTTCAAATCTTAGATATAAAAGGGAAATTTTTTGTGAATTTCTAGCATAAAATAATTTACGAATTTTCATGATTTTTACGTATGTTGTCAAAATTCAAAATTTGAATGCTTGTAAATAAAAATTGTGACTATGAATTTATTTTATTTTTCAACTGCTATTGTAAAAATATATTTAGGAGCCTTGTATTAAATTTTCAAATCTTAGATTTAAAAATAAAATTTTTTATGAATTTCTACCTTAAAATAATTTGTGAATTTTCGTGATTTTTACGTATTTAGTCAAAATTCAAACTATTCAAAGCTTATAAAAAAAAATTGTGACTATGAATTTCTTTTATTTTTAAACTGATATTGTAACAATATGTTAAGAGCCTTGTATTAAATTTTCAAGCTTTTCTGCTTAACAAATAAATTTTTATCGATATTAATTTTTAAAAAAAACTAATAATTTTCGAAAATTTTTAAATGTCTATGAATAGTTCAACTTAGGTCGAAATTTTTTAAAAATTGCATGGTGGATAGAATATACTTATATAAACATTCAGTGAAAATTGCATGTATCTATGGTCATTTGTTTTAACGTTACATCAAAAACCAAAATTGATTTTGTCGAAAAATGAGTGTGCGTAAAAATTCCCGTTTTTCCTTTAAATTTCAGTTTGTTTTCCTCGATTACTTAGAAAAGTATTAAGAATTTTTTAATTTTGACCCCCTAAAGTACCAACTAGATTCACTTTCTGATCGAACGAGGTACTGAAGTCAAAAATCGAAGCACTTTTACTGCCCCAAAATGTGATGATAGACACAAAAAAAACACACACACACACACACACACATCATGGTAAAATCAATACATTCATCGCTCCGCTCAGAATCTAAAATTTACTTTCAATTACATTGATTTTAATAATATATCATTACCAGCATTTGCAGAAGTTGGACTAACAGCAGACGTGTTTGATTGTGGTATCATATTTTTGTACTTGGAGTATTCAAATAATCTAGAATATTAATTTATAAAATATAATTTTTAATTCATACCAATGAATTTATAATAATTAAATTAAAACATTGAAGCATTTAATAAAAATTTTTTATACTTACTGTACCCATAATTTACTTATAATCTATCATTAAAAAAATATCTTAAGAATATTGTATAAAAACCATTTTTGAAATATTTTGTGTTAGATATAATGAGAGTATTAAAAAAATATATAAAACTAAACATTAATTTTCAGTTATTTAATTAATTAATAAAGGATATTATACAAAATTAAATATCTAAAAATCTACTTAGTCTAGATATCAACCTTATATTAATATTCTAGACTGTACGAACGGTATTTTTTTAGTTGTCGGGGGTGGTCGTTTTTCATGTATATGTATTTAATTTAATTTTCATTTGAATTATAGAAATCCGCATTGTCTATATTATTATTTACAACGCAATGGATTCAAGACGTGATGTGAGTAATTAATTTTTTTTTTACTTTTAACTTCAGGCATTGCTGGTGTTTACTAATTAAATTTACTTTAAAATTTTTATTTAGATCAACCAATCGAGCACTTCGATCCAGGTGTTTGACGTGGAGTCAGATGATGAGATGTCACCCCCAAACGTAGTAAGTTAATTTATTTTTCGGTTTTTTTAAATTTTTCGTTCTTTAATGCTTTTACTAGGTACCTACCTATGTTTATTTGCATTTATTATTTTTTTTTATTTTTGTTTTTATTAGTCAACATGTATAAGGTAATACGTATTTAAATGTTTTTCTACAATTAACTAGGTCGAGCGTCCTAGCAATCGCGTTGTAGAGGTCATTGACTTAATAGATGACGATGATTCGGAACCTGAAGACATTCAGAAAACTAGCACTTCTGAAGACATTAAAGTTGAGAAACCTTGCAGTTCCCATTATGGCAATCAGGAGGACTCTGCTTCCAAGAATGTTGTAAGTACAATAATTTGGAATGAAATTTTATTCGTGTTGTATGTACTGTGATTTACATTTAATTTTTTTTAGGATACCGATGAACTGGAATATGAGGATTGTGGTTGGCCGTTACCCGGGGTAAGTGTTTATTTATATTTTATAATGGCCGATTAAAATTTTTGTTTTGGGTTTTTTATGTGATCAATAAAATTATGAATTGTTTGTTTTATGTTTTTTATTTATCCATAATATTATGTTTTAATTTTCTAAATTATGAATTTTTTTGACATTATGCACCTTCCCAGATAGCAAAGAATTATTTTTTTTTATATTTTAAAAATATTATTTTTAAACCTATTTTTTGATTTGAAAATGTTTAAATAATGTTTTTTTAAATATTTTTTGGCCATAAGAGTAAAATTAATATATTATTACAAAAATATTATTTTCATATTATCAATCAAATAATATATTTTGTAACATTAATGTAATATTTTTGTGTATAACAATAAAATAATATATAAACAACTTTATTAATATCAAGGCTGGCCATTAATAACGAGTTAAAAAGTTTAAGTTAAGTTAAAAAGTTAAGTTACTTTTAACTAAGTTATTTAACGAGTTACTTTTATTTTCAAAAGTAACTTCCAGCTTAACGAGTTTCTTTTTTTTT